AGCCGCAAAATCTGCCAAGCTGAACGTTTACCATTATTATTAGCAAAAATTTTTCCCCCTAACCAAAAAAATCGTTGGATTGCAGTCGAACGTGTAATTTGTTATTAGACTATGATGACTGTAGTATAACTCTTAAATATTCCATAATACATTAACATTCCCGCACATCTTTTACTTATGTAAATATTTGACCATTTCTGGTCATTTAGATTAGTTATGATGGACTGATCTTACCATTTGTCAGATTCGGTCAACGCCGATTTGATTTATCTACTGAAATCACTTACCAATCTCATGTCCAATTTTAAATACCTTTTGAAGTACTGGCCTTGGTGTCTCCCAGTCACTAAGCCATTCCCATCACTTAGTCATATGGCAACATTGCTGAAGTCATCCTCCGAGGGGTTGGTTTCACTGTCCTCCCCAGTCTGTCTGTTCTTTTCAGTCTACGGGAATATGATGCTGCTGACAACGAGCGCGATCTGTTGAACGAGGCCAAGAATAATCTGGAACGGACAATTTTCACAACTTTAAGCGATATTGAGATCGCCTTCGACAATCACACCACTGAGGCAGAATTGGAGGCACTAAGCGCCACTATCAATAAGATATCTCAGTGGTACGATGAGGAAGGACACTACGCTCCCCGATCGGTACTTCTATGCTTTTTTTCGACTTGGCACAAATTTAGTTATGTACTTGTCATTTACTGTAGCGCAAGCATTATGGTGGGGAATTGGCCTATGGAAGGTGTTCCCGTGATGCAGGTAGCTGTGGTTGAAAGAGCCGAGGTTGTGCCTTTTTTTGAACGAGCAGGTGCACCCCTTATTTTGTATCCCCTTTCTGAGGCGACAAATATAGTACGGCAAATTCAGATCATGCAGCGGTGGTGCGTCAACTCCAATGATGGCTTTTTGTCAAGTTTTCTGTTCAGCATGAGTTTTCGCGGCACATGGCGGTTGAAACACTTTTTACCTAAGAGTCTAATTATTTCATTGTTGGAAGCCAAGTTGTTACACTTTCAAGTTAGAATCAGTACTGCGTTTTGTATACTTCATCACTCTTCAAGCTGATAAAATGGTAAGACGATGCGTTGCAATGCTATTTTGACGTTGGTATTCAAATCCACAGGACCGCTTGTGTTTATGCTCAATAGAATTGACTTCTCTCGTTGTCGATAATCTCGATCTAGGTATGGAATATAGTCTTTGCATTGTAAGATGAAATTTTTAACAATTAAATACTAAGGCCAGTAAGGTTTTGATGCTTTTAATTGCTTTATTCTGCTACTTCCCGTGTTACTTGTTCCGTGCAAAGTAGTGTACAAATTGTGGAATTGCAAGTTCTGCGTTTTTGCTTTTTCACATGATGACACTTCTGTCGAGGCGATTGCTTATGGAACTTGAAGGCTGATAATTTAAGCTAGAGGCAGAGTACTGGGAGCTTCGTTCGTTTCACTCATCGCAAACAATCGAGTGCGTGGAGACCACAACGCATTGGTTCATTCGAGAGTAATCGTAAACAATGTTTATTTCCCGTGTGCGTACAAGTAACTGCATTGGAGTTGGATAGATGGATTAGCGCTAGTTTCACCACCAGTAGGCTCGACATACATTGGTGCATCAAATAGTGAAGTGATGCTCTGGCAGCTTCCTTTCCTAAATATTACTCATTTTGGAGATAAAACGTTAGCTATTGAAGTGTCAAGGAGGGGTTCATCACCACAGTCTAGGTTCTTATCTGACTAACCAATGGAGTTGTTTCCTACACATTAAGTCACTTGTGTTTTAAGCAAATTCGTTTGAGGGAAAAGCTCGCATTTTTCAACGCTGAACGTGGACAAGGCGAAACTTGTATGTAATAAAACAAGCGAACTTGATCAAAATTATAATCAATTTTGAGTCACATTGATGTTGAATTCTCGAATAATCACTACCGCTGGCACAAAGTCGTATCGACTGAGTCGCCATGATCATCGTCATTTTTTGTCCTATAGGCGGTGGAAGAGCATTTGACCAGGCTACAAGAGGTTGTGGATCCCTATAAGCGGCGAGTACAGGCCTTCACGGAGTTGCCAGCAGCCCTGACCAAGTTGGAGGAATTGCTGACCTCTAAGGCGCAGGCCATTAGCATTGTCATGAGCGCCAACAGCGCACATGAAATCCTCACTGCCTCGGAGTTCGTCCAAGCTCTCAACGAATCCCTTGCGAATGAGGGGGAGGAAAAGAAGGCAGGCCTTCCCATCTACACTCATGAGGAGGTTGAGGCTCTGAGAAAACTCATTTCTGAAACTCAGGTGCGTTTCTGTTTGTAAGAAAGGATCGAGGGGCTGAATGTCTTCCATGTTGTCACAAACACCACCCATCCCATATATTGTAGGCATCAAAAAGTAGCTACTTTGACTATGGTAGATGTGATGGTTAAGATTGCAGCTTTCAAGCTTTCCTATCCTTGAATCCTCGAAGTCCAAATCGACATACTAGATAGGGCCACTGGCGGGTGCATGAGCTTTCTGTTTTCGTGCTTTCCATTTGAAAAAGTTTAAGGATTAACATTTAAGATAGCCAATAAGTAGGAGAAGCCGGTAATAGTGCTTAACGGGACCATTTTTCGTCTATGAAATCCACCTAAACACTATTTAACTAAAATGTCTTCCAAATGATGTTCAGTCGCCTCATTCTGTAAATCCTTTTAAATTCCAGTGAGATACACTTGGTGATTTGATAAACGCATATAATAAGATGAGGGACTTCCTTGTTTCTCTAAATTCGGTCATTTTGTACTCAATTTGCGGAGCATCTAATCACCGAAGTTATTCATGCTTCCAGACCTCCTTATCGTCGAGAGATATGGACATCAAGGCGCCCGAATCGGGGACTCCACTCTACTCCTTTATTTCGATCGTGTTTGAACAAGTTTTTACTCAAACTAGAAACGATAACCAAAAGTAGTAAAATGTTTGATGAAAGGCAAGTTCACTACTTACCACCTAGGAGCAAAGGAAGGTAAATAGGAATTATTTTGCACGTCACGCCGTGCGATGAGTGACAAATTGCGTTTTAGCTTCCTAATCACGCATACTGATAAATTATGTACCCACTAGAGAGTAATGGCGACTAACACACTAGCTAAGAGACTTGCACATTCGTAGAATTCCTTTTGACTTTGTATTGCACAACTTCTCGTAATCACTGACAGTCGAGAGCTGCTGTTCTGTTTCGACAACTATTCTCCCGTTTCTTTTGCTCTACTCCAGGTTTTCATGTGGAGGCGACTCCACTCCTTCACCGTTGGTAGGCTTGCAACCCTCTTTTTGAGGCACCTAGGTCTGTAATCGCTCCAGTCAGCTACATAATATGGGTGCAACTTTGATCAACCCTTCTCGTCGACTATTAACACTTTCAGTTGTGTCGTTTAGTAAATAAATTGTTGCTTTTTCAATTCCTTTATTTCTACCATTCATGGCACTCCGAAGAACTGCTAAACCGCATTTCTGCGGGAAGCTCATGGTTACTCCGCAGAAGGGCTGAATAGACCCAATGCCACACCACCCCAAGATAATGCTAGACTCAATTACATCTAGGGAGCTTGTTTCGTGAAGCTGCTGTTACAATCTCGAGCAAACGATATGCGTGATTGAATTAGTACTATGTAACAGGCGGGAAGAGAGGCAACCTTCTTTTCATGCTCCTCTCCCTCTCTCACTTCCTAGACGTGGCTGACCGAGACCCGCTCACTGCTGGCAACTTGTGACCACAGGGCTGACCCTCCAGTGCGTTTGGCAACAGTGACGGAGCGCATGGAGGTGCTGAATGCTAAATTGGACTATTTTGGACATAGAGGTGAGAATTGGTTCACCACTTACAAGCGCCTCTTCGACATCAAAAAGGTCCTCCTTCTTGAGGCTGCTCGCAAGGCTGATGCTGTTGATGGTAAGCATTTTTCTTGCTAAATTAGAGAATCTTTTTGATAAATCTTGTCCAAGTAAATACTAAGACATGTAGTTCCTTTTGATCAGTTATTTCATTTGTTTTACAATCCTCGTTGTGGTTAACGTTGCTCTTTACTACCTTGGACGCTATTTTGATTCGCGGATTTTGCTGAGCACTCGACTTTCTCATCACTGGCGGTTTGAGTAGCCATAATCTTTGACTGTCAAGTGTCTGAATCGGAGCGGGACATTTCCTATTTCGAAGCCCAACCTAAAATACCAGAGTTACTTAAATTGGATCTTCAACATGCAATTAAGCCCATTGGGGTTGGTCACAGGGAGGGGATATTGTGTTAGGCTCATTAATTGCGTTACCCTTCCACTAGTGTTTACTAGTTACAGCAACGAAAGTTACACCAAGCACAAATAATTTCCCAGCAGACAATGCAGTAAAGATGGAATTTCACTGCCTTACTCTGCGAGAGAGAGCAATATTTTAAATGCCTCTTGGCATAGACCCCCTTGCCTAATTGGTTCAGGAGCTATACATCATATCTTCCCCTGATCACCGAATTCGCGCTGCCCTCACGTCTCCCAGCGGGTGGCCTGGCTGTTGCTTCGACTGTTTGAACGGCAGAGAATTTCGCTGTTATCTGCACTTTGCATGTTCAGCTGAAAATTTCTGCGTTTCGAGCAAAATGTGCCTGTTTTCTGTGGGAGAAAAATCAACAAGATTGGCAGACCTACTGACGCTGATTGAGTCCTTTCCTTTTAGATACAACTGCAGGAAATGATACGGTTATTGAAGCACCACAAACAGAGGAAGGTAAGGATTCTCCGTCAATACATCGTTGCAAAATTGAAGCTTTCAATAATATTGTTTACTCAACTTCAAAACTGACTTCTGCCTCATGGTTATTGTGGCGCTGAAGCAAAGCAGAGACATTTCTTCCTCGGCTGGGCAACATTTTCGTTCCTTTTTTTTTTGGTTCAGCTCACTTTGTCGTGGGATAACTTTTGTAGCAAGTTGGAATCTTTGCTTTGTTATTTCATTTTGCAATTCATTGTAGGTTCATCACCTCCCGAAGAGCCTGAGACCGCTCCAGAGCCCGAGAGTTAGTGTCCTTCTTAGGCGTTACTTGTCTTTAACCCTTGTCATTTATACTTTGACTGTGTTATTTTGTTTGTTCTGAGTTTGGTCATTTTATAGTTCATTTTTCATTCATTCTTCTGATGCTTGTTTACTAGTCTTGAGTTTCGAGATTTGGCGATTTAAGGGCTTCATGTACATTCTTTTCTACTCCCCATTAAGAGCTGTTTTTTCGAGGTTTTTTTGATCTATTATAAGCTTCCTTTTATCGCCTTTTAGCTGTCACTCCACGATCAGACTTGTAGACGCCTGCGAAGGTAACAACGCAGAGGGCGCATGCACACACATACCGATTCCATTTTTTACACCCTCGTTCCTTTGTCCTTACCCTGAAAGTGGGTTACTCCTCCTTCCCCTATTTAATTTGCGCCCTCACCACTGCGCTGCTGTTAGTTCCACCGTTTTATTCGTCTCGTTCACTGTCTTTATGTAAATACAACAACCTTATGACGTCTTTCTGTTAACGCGCGGGAGTAAACGTGGTCGCCTTGACAAAGCGATTAGTTAACCACTGCTACACGAAACGACTATGGCTAGATGGGTAAAGATGCGAGTCAGAGGAAGGCATCAAGGGAAGTTGTGGGAATACTGAATCACTAAAACGAATTGTTGTATGTTTAGCCAAACCCAATAAATTGCACCAAGTGTCTGCAAATTAAAAGTATTGGTTCAGGTAAGAGGCTTTGTAAGTCGACTGTAGTGCGATTTTGGAGATGCAGAAATTTGGAGATACGTCTATGGGATTCCCTGCCACGGGGTAGGTTAGTTGTCCGCCGCACTTCCTGCCTGGTCAGTCGAAATTCATGTGGTACTATTACGACTGGTTTAGTGCTTGCTTGTCGAGCGTCGTTTCTTTTTTTAATGAACATTAAAGCTTCACGATTGAGCTTTCACTGGATAGCATCAGCTCTCTGCCATCTCTGTGGCCGTCATTTCTTTGCGTTAGTGGTGTGTTCTGTCTTGGCATCATCTCCTCTTTCATCGACTGCGTTGGTGATTGAAGAAACGGCAGGTATTTACATTCTCAACAGAAGGCTCGAAAGTGACGCCTCATTGCTGTAAGATGATCTGAGGAAGCTATTTACAGTTTTTCACTGCACTTCTTTGAGGCAGGGCACCTACCTCTCTTCTTCAAGGCC